TTTAAATCTAATTTTTTTCCCTTATGTTGTTTTTTGAGAGGCAGTGCCTAAACCTACACTCAGGGAACAAAAGTCTCCTGTTTGCAGTAAGTGCCACATATTCATATATATGTATTATAACATAATAATACATGCAGTAGTGTCTCCTCTTTTGTGGAGCATTTTATACTCTAACAGAGAAGGTTAAATGAAAGTTAATATACTACACTAGTTTCCTCCATTATGAGCTCTTCAACTCTTGGTTCGCTCACAACACTGTCAAGACAGTTTGCTTTCCACTGATTATGGCAATTCCAGTAAAATGAATTAATGTTGGTACAAAGCACAACATCAACAGAAACGTCATCGTTCAAACTGCTGAGTACAGTCATTCTGTGTGTTGCACTTGTGTCAACTGAAGCATTCGAGCTCCAGCTTTGTGACTGAACTGGGTTCTGTTCTTTTTATACAGCATCTGAGCACACCGCAGCTCTACACACACACACCACAAAGAGCAGAGCTCAGCGGCAGCCGTGACCAGGCTGCATGTGGTGGCAAAATGAAACAACCTCCCTTCATCTATCTGAGTGTGTGTGTGTGTGTGACTTGAGTTTGGTAGAAACCAATAAAATCCCTGGTTTAGGTAGCTCATCTTCTTCCTCTCCTACCCCATCTCTCTGCTTATTCTCTATTTTTACATTTCCTGCCTTCTCTCTCTCACACGCACTGTAGGTCATTCTTTTTCTCGCTCGCTCTCTCTCCCAGAATATCTCTCAACTTTCCCTGCTCTCTCCTTTCTGTTTGCTGACTTGGCACCTCTACCTTCCTTTTAAACCTTTCAACACACACACACACACACACACACACACACACACTTCAACATTGCTCTTCAGCACAATAGTTGTGAGTCGTCCATGTCAGCAGAAGTTGGACAACATACACTTTAAGTTAATAAATCAAAAAAGGTAAAAATAATCAACTTTAAAAAAATCTTTCTGTTTGTTTTGTTTTGTGTGGGTCTGTGTGTGTGTTTTGGGGGGCTATTGCAACAAATATACAGCAACAAACATACAGTAAATGCACAATCTACAACAATGGTAATGGTGATGGTAATGAAGATGATGGTTATGATAAAGTGGTGATGAAGAATACAGTGAATGCTGTTGATGCTACTGAGAGTGCTTACTTCAAGTTAGGATAATGATGAAGCTGGTTTCACTAGTCAGGGCCGCTCCTTATGGTTGATGTTGATGTGGGTGAGGTGAGTTTGTGTGACTCAAACTGATGCTAATTGGCGACTGTTAGGGCATCGTGGGGGAAGGCTTCCGGCGAGTCTGTGTGGTTCTCTGGCTGGGTGGATCCCCCATAGGAAGCAGGAAAGTAGGAGGAAGGAAGTAAAGAGACAGGAGGGCAAAAAGAAAGAGAAGAGGACAGAGAAAGACCAGGACAGAAGGGCAGGGTGGGCAGGTTTACGAGAAAAGAAGGCACTCAGTAGCTGGAGTGCTGGGAATTTGTAGGCAGGTGACAGGAAAAGGTTTTTGTGTGTTTTAAGATTTGGCTCCTGAACTTAAGATGTTCATCTTCATTATGATGATGATGATCGTCATAATGACGATGGTGAAGGTAAGTTGAAGAGGCAGTAGTTGTTATGAGAATAAACAGAGTGGCTGTGATTACAGTGATGAGAATGACGATAGGTAATTGGTGATGACACTTGTGAGCACAATGATGATCATAATGTCTTCAGTTAGCAGTGCGATGATGATGCTGAGAAAGATGTTTCAAGGATGATGATGAAAGTGCTAATGATGAGGATGATGCTGAAGCTGGTGATGATCTTATGTTGGTGACAATGATGATAGTAACATGGACAATGATGGAAAGCTTAATGATTAGACTGGTGATGACCATGACTATGACTTATATTAGCATGTTTATAATGATGGTGAGTTTGACACAAATGAACAAACTGATGAGGATGAAGATGATGATAATAATGATGATAATGAAACTGATGAGAATGAGGATGATGACAATGAAGATGGTAAAGATGATGATTAGGTGATAACAATAATGACAACAGTGACAAACTTTACATTAGGATGTTGATAAAATCGATAACCATGGTGATGACAATCTTTTTTTATTATGATGTACTTAATTTCCTTCAGATTTTGTCTTCATACATACACAGCAAAGCTAGTGAGAGAAACAGAAGGAGAAAAGCAAGAGAGATGAGTTGTTAAACCTCGGTTTACTCCTGCTATATTCTATTTCTATTCAGCCAAATTAACAAGTTATTTCTCTATTTCTGTTATCAGATATCTGAATAAATATTAAATTTGATCACAGCTCATGAAATACAGTCATGTCAAAAAGAAAGTACACCCTCCTTCAATGCTGTGTTTTTATTGATCAGGGGCTAAAACTGTTGTATGGTCCTCACCAACATCTATAAGCAATATTTCAATATGTGGTCACTGTTTCCCAAAAGTAAACCAACATTCAGAAACCAGGTTGGAAAAAAAAGTACACCCTTCCTACTTCCACAGTGGCTGAGAGTAATCAGCAGCCAGGTGTTACGAATCAAATGCACAGGATTAGTCAGTCATTAAGAAGTGTGACTGCCTCTATACTGTAAAGGTTTTGGCAGTTTGGTGTTCTGGAGCACTGAGGTGTGTGTCTACATCATGCCAAGAACAGGGGACATCAGCCAGGACCTCAGAGAAGCGATTATCACTACTCATCAGTCTGGGAAGGGTTGTAAGGCCAGACAATCTGAAATCCACTGTTCTACAGTAAGAAAGACTGTTTAGAAATGAAAAGCCTTCAATAAAGCTGCCAATCGTCTCAGGAGTGGGTGTCCTGACAAATTCAGTCTAAGGCCAAATCGTTTAATGGTCAGAGAAATGAAGCAAAACCCAAGAGACCTGCACTTGACCTGCAGGCCACTGTAAGTACATTAGATGTTTATGTTCATGTTCATGTTAGCACAATTAGAAAAAGACTGAACAAAAATGACTTTCACAAAAAGGTGTCTAGGAAAAAGTCCCTTCTCTTCAAAAGGAATATGGCAGCACGACTTAGGTTTGCAAATTGCATCTGAACCGGTCACTGAGATGACAATGAACTCCACTTTGCATCAAAATATTCTTGAGGCAAATGTGAGGCCATCTGTCCAGCAGCTCTTGCTGGGCTGAAACCGGGTCATGCAACAAAACAGTGATCTCAAGCAAACCAGCAAATCTTAACAGCTAAAGAAGAACAAAATCAACATGCTGGATCGGCCAAGTCAAAGTCCAGACCTCAACCCCACTGAGATGCTGTGCCAGGATGTTAAGAGAGCTGTGCATAAATGAGCACTCTCAACTCTCTGAATGAAGCAGATGAGCCCCACTCTCCTGTTCTCTGTTTGAGGAAGAGTGAGTGAGTCTGTACATCAGCAGGTACAGGAAGTGTCGAGGGAGAGGGAGTACTAGTAGCTACTGATGTACTGAACGGTGTCAGCAGCAAAGCATACAACCAGCTACGACGAGTCCTGAGGGGAAGTGTGTCAGTCTGTCTGCTGCTGCACTGCTTAAAGCTACACTTTGTGTTACAATACTCCAGTGAGATTTTAGTATTATTAAAGCTGAAAAGCTTTAATTGATACAATTGGAAGTTTGGAAACATACAGAAGGTGAGTAGACAGAAGAAGGTGAAAGCTTTTGTCACTGTTGGTCTTTTGATTGCAAAGTACAGCTATTTCCTAATTGTAGCTGTCCAATGGATCTCATGGTGAGAATCTGTTTGTATAGAATCCATCCAGCACCTCTGCAGGTGAATGTATCGATGTACAGTACCAGTGGAAACTCAATTCCAGTGCTTGCAAGAGCTACTAGACATAGTGATTGATTCATTTAAGACCAGCACTAGATGGAAATTTAAAAAAAAAAGTTCAAAGGTATAATAAATATGAATTATTCGTTTATTCATAAGCCAAATGTGAATCTTTTTTTTTATGCTGTGTAGACATCAGCTTTCTAGCAGAAGAAGCTTTCCTGGTTAAATTCAACATGCACCAGTGCAAGAGAAAGCAACTTGCATTTTTTAGCAGAAGGAAGAGGCCTGAACATGACCTCAGCCACCTCCTTCAAGCCCTCTCTCTCATTCTACCCTCTCACACACACTCACACTCTCTCTCACACACATACTGTACATACACACTGGAGACACCTGTGTAAACTATAGCTACCACCTGCTTGGCACCCGCCTTCTTATCCCCCCCAAAAAACACCCAGGCCAGGGATAACACACACACACACACTCACACACTCACAAACACTACCTTCTAGAAACATCCACCCTCACACTCTGACACACAGACTCACACAGACCAGGAATTTTGCAAGAGAGAAGATTAAACACATGAGATTTGACACCTGCTGAGTCTCTCAAAATGAAAAGAACCTCAGTTACTCTTCATGTCTTTAACTGTTAATAATCGGCACTTTTACCTGAGTGAGCAGGTGGGCCCGCTCAGCCACATCCCAGTCAGTGTGGAGTCAGAAATGTGTAGCTCATTATCATATGAACCAAACGTCCAGCTTATTTAATGTATTTCTCTACCCTTAGTTACCATGTGCATAAAAAGTCAGAATTTTAAAAACATTTCCACTGTTTCTGGAATTTCTTGTCTGCTGATAGGGCTGCAAAGTTTACACCAACCAATGCTAATCAAACCAAAGAGGGGAATAAAACTGTGTGTGAAAGCAGGAGAACAACTAAACAACAAAGACTTAGTGATGTGTTTACAGTAACTACTGCATCATTTGCCTTTTTTCAGTGTTTCAGGAACCCTGTCACACCAGGAAGATGAAATCGCCGATGGATCTCATGGTGAGATCCTCAACTGACTTAACTGCCATCCAAAGCTAGAGAATATTTACACATCATTTTACACCTTTACACAGTATTTTCATCGAATTTTCCACTGATTGGACACAGGTGTGTCTCATCAGTCGTCACCAGTCAGCTTTACAAGATGCTTCACTGCTCAACTCAACGTCAGATAGTCTTCAGTACCCTCCATAGTGCCTATACTGGCCTGTGCCAAGATCTCTGAACACTGCCTGGTACTCTGCATCAGGTTGCTCTGTCGTCTTCCACAGCCATTTGGTCTGTATTTTGCCCATGTTTGACAATTATCCGGGTTGTGCCACTGAATCTAGCCACTCACTGCTAACTGGGGCTTTTTTCTTTTAAGAACACTGGGCCTCGTTCACCAGCCAGTCTTAAGTAGGTAAGAACAGAATCTGTGCACACTCAGGAGCACACTTACACACATTTGGCGCTGGCATTTGTGTGAAACAAATGGTTAATTATTTTTTCTTCAGTTCTGCAGTTATATCAGATTTAAATTACAATAACAGTTTTATTGTTGTTATTAATATACTGTTAATTTCTTTAAGTATCTCGGATATTGTGGCCAGTGTTGAGGCTGTCTGTGTTTGCGTTTGGCCAATTCACTCTTCTTTTTACAGAAGGTCAGACTCAGGGCAGTTAAAGGGACCTGGGTGCACACATGGAGCCGTGTACTGTCCCGCTGCCCTGGTCCAGCTTAGACACCTCTGTGCCAGCCTGTCCTCCTCGACTGGTCAGCATCTGTCCTCAGTGTTTGTTTTGTGGTCTCTGTTTTGAGATCAAACCATCCTGTTACTTCATCAGTTGTGCACCGTTCTCCTTATACAACATTCACTGAATGAGTAATAGCATCCCATGTGTCTGTTTTGTTTCATTTTCATATCCACTACTGACGCTACTAAATATGACAACTTATTACCTGTTCTCCACTTCATAACGCCAAGTTTTTCTTCAGTTTGTCTTTTGATCTTTGCTGTAGTATTCCTGATTTTCCTAACTTCTCTTTTCAGTTTCTGTGTGAGATCTCTGTGTGTGCACACAGACCTGGAGCCTCATGCTCTTTTATGGGCATTGCAGGGGGCGTTAATCTATGCTATACAGGACTGACTGGCACCTGCTTTCAACTTATGAACAAAGTGTAAGAACACAGGTATGAACAATTTTGTGATTTAAGAACATGTTCATGAATCAGATGTAGACTTTTCTTAGGGCCTTTCTTAAGAACAGCTTAAGAAAAACTTAGGAAGGTGCTGATGACTGAGGCCCAGTGTCTTTTGTTTCTGCCTCTTTTGGAGTGGATTTTTGTCCATTATTCTTGTTTGCTCAGGTGGCTCACGTGCCAACCCTTTTTGTTCTCTGTGTGTCCTATATGCTGCATTAAACATGGTTTAAAGCTACACAATGTAACTTAAGGTAGCGTTAGCATTAAACTCCAAATTGGTCCGCTCTGCTCTGCCCAGCAGTCCCTCTCCCTGCTCCACTATGCTCTACTATGCTCCGCTATGCTCTGCCCAGCTCTTCAGATATTTATTATGATATTACAATAAAAGATAATGCAACAAAACTTAATGATAAAGCAAGAAACAATTGAACATCTCTGATTGGTTAGAAAGGTCAGTCTCGCTCTACAACTTTTAGAAGCTAATGTCTCTGCACTTGTGCCAGAACTGTTCAATAAGTCCAGGTCACAGGAGGCTTCGACGGCACCTCTCCACATTAAGACAAGTTTTTGAGCAGATTTCTACAACAAAAATATTTGAAAAAAGTTACATTGCTGACTATTCTTTGCCTCCGAGTCCAATAATTTTACAAAAATGTTGATATATCAATAAAAAAAAAAACATGTTTCACAATGGAATCAAACACCTCCCTCCCGTGGGAAAGTCCGATGTTTTACCATTAATGTCCTCTTTTGTTCATCATAACTACTGCAGCCACTAGAGGGCACCTAATTACAACATCTGTCCATACTGGGAGTTGCATCAACCATATTTATGGGCTTGGTAACGACAAATAATAGCCATTGAATGGCGTGACAACACTCGTATCAGCTGATGGTTGCATTAGTTTATTTTGGGTGTGAGATTAACTGTTAAATTAGAGCTGCATGAAGGGTTTGGAAAAAGTGACCCCAGTATAAAGAAATGTGTTTGTAAAAAGAAAAAAAACTGTAATTGTTTCCTTCTGAAAGAAAAGCTGAAATTTTTATTTCAAAAATAGCAATTCTTTAGTGGAAAAAAGGGACAGCAGTTTCTTCCTCTGTGGTGGATGGTTTGAGTGTTTTTAGAAAAAGGGTGTTCGATGAGTTCAGCTGGAGGAGGAGGAGGAGGATGGAGAAATGTTCCAGAATGCTGATACTGGGGACAGATTATACACACACTCACATACACATTCACAAAAATACACAAAGCAAATCTGAGCCAACACTCATCCACTCCAGCTTCCCCACCCCCCTTACATACACACTTTTATACACTTAAATACTTAGACACACACTTATACACACACACAAACACTCAGTGATCCGGGTGGAATCAAAGGGTATTAGCTGTGCAGTGTTCAGTTCCCCCGGTCCTTTCCCAGCATTCTCCACAGCTGTACGATTACACAGGTGTTTGGCAAAAACACACTGTTAGAGACCGCAGAGGGGCTGACTGTGTGTGTGTGTGCGTGGGTGTGTGTGTGTGTGTGTGCACATGCGTTAGACAAAAAAAAACGAATATGCATGTGTGTTTGCATGTATTCAGTGTGTGCCTGCTTGCACAGCTTCCCCTGTAGGAATGTGTTTTTGTATGTGTGTTTATACCATTAATTCCTTCCAATGACTCATCCCTACCATTTCCTTGACCACCACCATCATCTCCCATTTTAAATTCACTCCTTCATTTTTTTCTTAGTACAGTATCTTAACATTCATTTGAGTCTGTTTTCGCTGAGGACTTCAAATGCGACTGCCTGTGATGAACTGTGGGGTGCTTTGTCACCAAATATCACACAGGTGATCAAATATCTGATGTATGAGATTATCACAAAGTTGCTAGAAACTACCTAATGCATAACTCCACTGTCTTACAAGATACATATCATATCGAGCCAGAGACTTGGAGCTGAATGCTATCACTGGCATACTAACATACTCACAATGACAATGCAAACATGATCATGTTTAGCAAGTGTAATGTTTAGCATGTTCACCATCTTAATGCAGATTAGAGGATTAACATTTTCTAATTAGCACAAAAACAATAAAGTATAGCTGTCGCTGGTGGAACTGTCATGTGTTTTTATTTGATCATTTACCAAAGTATAGTAACTCCTGAAGGCGCCAAGAGTAACTAAACCAAAGTTCATGACAATCCATTTATCAGCTTTGGAGACTACAAATTGTCACATATGTCACCCTCATGGTGGTGAAACTGAAAAGGTCTGTATGCAAATATGATGCCAGAGCTAGCAAATGATTACCTTAGCCAGTGGTGGAAAGTAACTACAGTAATTACAGTTACTCAAATATTGTACCCAAGTACAATTATCAGGTATTTGTACTTGAGTATTTTCATTTCTGCTACCTCATAATTCAACTTCATGACATTTTGGAGGCAAATTTAGTTGGTTGTCAGAATCAGATAAGACTTTACTGATTCTGGCATTATACAGAGTATTACAGATTATAAGTAAATAAAGTAATTCAGCTGTGCTCCACCACATTCTGCCCATCTCTTCAGATATTTGTCATTATGAAAATAAAAGCAATGCAAATGCAACAAAATCTTCTGACCAAGTGTTGCTGTTCATCCAGAAATAGCTCTAGGCATAGCTTCTGTCTGGGCCGTGATTTAATCAAGTTGATTCTAAGATTTGCAGGGCTTGTAAATATGGAGTCAACTCCTAAAAAAGCTAACAATTCTAAGTTCACGTCACTCACTTGTGTTAAAGTGAGAGCAATGGTAATAATTTACATTGAAACTGCCCCTCATGTATTTGAATGATACAGATATAAGGTGACATTTTTACAGTGAAACCTTTGTGCACTATTTCATGTGCTAATATTTACTTTTCTCATGTTCTATTTTCTGTAGATTCCAGTTATTTCATAAAGTCATTCACACCAGTAAGAATGTCCCCCAGCGTCCCTCCATCCCAGCTCATCATGTAATCGACCTATCAAGGAGGATTTCTGCAGGGCCAATTTTGTCCCTAATGTGACAGATGCACTGTGTTTTGTGTCAGACCATATCTGTGTGTTCCTGCTCTGTTTCAAGGTTAAAATGCTCAGACTAAACCAGGATATGCTGTTTGCATGTTATGTAACTCTTCCCCGAGTTCACATGCTGATAATAAAAGAGAAGCAGTGAGAGATTGATAGGTAAGTCTGCTTTTCCTTTTTTGTTGTTGTTGCTATTGGTCCGATGTGAGATGTCACATTAGGTCTTTCAGTTCTGTGAACTAATGTAAGAAGACAGAGAATGGTGTCTACTAATGTGTTCACGTTTCATTCAGTATTAGAGCAGGTCATGAGAGGTTTAGTGTTTTCTTGATCTCTGCCAAACAGACCTGATGACAATGTTCTTTAAGATCCACCCTGATCAGCAGCTTAACAGATTAACTTTCCTCCCAGATTTTTCTTGTTTTTCTTCTAACTTTTTATCTCATTCTCCCTTTCAAGACTACCCTAACTTAAAAAAAATATCCTAACTGCTTAAATCGACCTTTTTTGACACACTGGGGACACCTAACTATAGGCAGTTTGTCCCAGAAGGTTAATACAACCAACTATAACATATCATACAACCTTTAGCAAGCACAGTATGATAAGAGCAAAGAATGAAGTTATTTGATTTCATATATAGAGCCAGAAAGTTTACCTCAGAAGGTGGCTGGGGTGGATGGCTGCTACATATGATACAGCGCTTTCCACTGAGGTGAGTAATGTTCAGTTCAAGTTTGTAACATGCGTTTTTCACCTAACCAAGTAGTTTTTGTTCCTAAACCTACCCAAGTGTGTGACTGTGGCTAATGTTAGCAGAATTTTTGGAATTCCGCCTGCCAATGCAGGAGCGCTATTTCAGGACATGCTCCTATGGGTCGTAAGAGAAGGAAGGGACAAATGTCCATATAGGCTGTACAGGTGGGAGAACCTGTTGGTTTGTGTCCATCTGATGATTTAATTCCAATACTCAGTCTTGTTTTCACTCAGTTTTTGGTCTCCACCAACTCCTGAGAAAAAGATCCAGCCCTTAAGCTAAATGTTGCACCTTCTTCATCAGCTAGGTACTGACATAGTAGTGTGCTGGTAGCGTACAGAGGATTTATCAGAGTTTATCTGCTGAAAACAGCTGTTGGAAATAAGGCTAATAGAGCAGGGAGAGTGCTCTAATGTAAGTGTGCTCTAAAACCATAAATGAGCTAAAGAAGGCTAAGAAGCTGTCAATGAGGGAAAGTTCGCAGCAAGATGATAAATCTATGTGGGTTTGTCAATATAAAAATATCAATTAGAGCAGCTTTAAATCTTTCAACAAACCAACCCCATTTTAAATAAATGTGTTGTGGGCTTCTTATAATCATGAAGATGTACATTCTCTAACCTTAAGCAAGGAGCGTTGGTAGCCCAAACTTGAAAACTGTATTGTTTTTCATTCTAGATCAGAAAACCCCTCATGTGTACTGACAAATGACTTGGTATTCTGTCCTTTAATAATTTTTGC